GGCAGTTTCGTTGCAGGCCCAGTAGAGCCGGTGGGAGCTGTAAGGGTAATCGGGAAGGGCTCCTGGCCGCGTGGTTACTGCGGGGTTCCGGAGTCCTCCTGCCCGAAACCGTGCCTCTCTTCGCTCGGCTCCCGGGGCCCTCCGGCCGCCGGCCCGCTCCCTGAAGCTGAGGCAGTTGGTAACAAAGAGCCTGCCAGCCTTCTGCTACCCGGGCTGCGCGAACCCAAGTGTCCTTCGGAGCTGCTGGAATGAGCGCGAGCTGGGCCGCGAGTCCAGGTTCGCGGTGGTGAGGGCCGTGGGCTGGAGTGTTTGTGCGGGCGGAGAGGCCGGTACCTCTCCTCGCCGCCCGCGGGACTCGGGGCTCGGGGGACTGTTCTCCCTGCGGCTTCACCCGGGAAAGCGGCTTCGAGGCCTTCCCCCTGCGGCACCGGCCCTTCGGCTGCCGGGAACCACGCTCAGCTCTGGCTGCAGAAACCCGGGTTTCCCAGCGGGGCTCAGAAAGGACCCGGCTCTTCTCCAAAGTGTCCTGAAGCTTTGTGTGAAAAGCTGGGGAAGCCTGATGCTTTTTAAAAAATAAATAAAGTCTTTGTAAGTCTCCATTTTTAGAATTTTTTTCAGAGTTTTAAGTAGTCTACCTCTTCTCATCCTTTCTCCTGCTCCTGACGTCTTTTTCCTCCTCAACTATAAACATTTTTACCTCAGAGCTGACGAACGTTTTGTAATTGAAAGTATAACTGTTAAAACCACGTCGAGAGAGTAGTCAAGATGGACAAAAAGTCCTTTGAAATGGTGCTGGATGAAATTAGAAAGGTAATTACATTTTATTCTTTAAATCATTTTATTAGCTACGAATTCTCATGGTTTATTCTCGTTGAGCTACTGTGCAGATTGTGTAAAATACTGGTTTTAGGATTGCAAAATTGGTTGGAATTTTAATCACTATATAGTGTAGGACCTTATGTCTTGATACATTTCACGGCTCTGTACTTTTGGATTTACTGTGACTTACTATTTCTGAACCGATTTCCTCATCTTTTAGTAACATAAGACATTGAACGCTAGAGCAAATGTGTAGAACATTCCTTTAGTAGTGGTTGTTATTACCATGACTGATTTTTAAAATCTGAGAATTGGCACACGGCCTGACAAAATTTGTGCCTTAATGAAAAGTGTGCTATTAAGTTTAAAGTCATACCCTTAGGAATGGGCTTCAATAACTTGAATTCCAAAACTTTTTTCTCTTGCTTTCCAAGTTTTTGCTCCTTTTTGAAACCATTGTATATAGCCTACTTCCCAGAATGAATCAGACAGCAAAAAAAATTTGAAATTTAGCCTTGAGCATAACTACTTCAAACCCAGAAAAAACAGTTTGCCTAAGTAGAATTAGAGGTACTTCCTGTAACATTCTCATTGCAATAGAGGGTCCATTGCTTACAACTCCCAGGCAGTTATCTCCATATTTCCATACCTTTAAGACCCTTGGTTGACTTGGAAAGATTTGTTACTGTGTGCTCTGGTGCTTGTTATTTGTTTCAGCTTACGAAATTGTTAATTAAATTGCCTGTGGATATGCTGTTTTTCTTATCTATAAAGCAAAATGTTGTTTTTCGTCACTCTTTATAACTCATTTTTCTTTTTCCAATTTGCATGTGAGGTGAAATTTACATATTCGGCAATATTGAATCTTCTTTTTTGAATGAAATTTCTGATTTCACAAACCCAGTTTGTCCAAATAAGATTTGCAATAAAGTATCAGCTTGCTAACTCTATATTTAGAATTTGCCACAATTTGTTCATGAGCTGGTATTTAACTACTGTTTATGAGAAAATAATTTATGCATTGAGGTAGACCAGTAGATTTCTACTGTTGGAAGCTATAGGGTGCTTTGCATATTCTCTCCCTCCTAGGTTGTGAAAAGATCATACAGTAAATACTAATGAGGGGAATAACAAGTTTCTCAAAGATGGAATTCATGTTCACACAAGATAGCAACTTAAGTCATTGTTTCTGGTTTGCAATCAAGATGTCTTTGCTGTCTATGCCAAATAATTAGATGCAACAATATTGTCTTAGTCTATTAAAATGGGATAAAAATATAGGCATATCTAAATATGAGAATTACTATTGGTTTTTTAAAGTTACTCTCAGACTTTGTAAATGTAAGTCAGTGTAAACCAGGTAATCTCTTCTGAGTGTCACCTTAGGTTTATAGGTAATAATGACTGTCACTACAGTCAGTAAGAGAGAAAGGCATGTACAAAGACATTAGGAAAGAAAGATAGTAGGGGGAAAGGCAATGTTAAATTTGCTCTTCAAACAGAAAGTAAGAATAGTACTGTGAGTACCTACTATGTAAGTCTGTTTTAAGCACTTTTTCCATGCACTGTATGCACTATTTGACTTGAACCTGCTAACAATCCATTAGGTGTAGGTAAGAACTATACTCTTTATTTTACAGATAGCAAACCTAGTCTTTGTGAGGTTAGCTAGTTCGCTCAGTTATCCAGATGGGAAGGGGGAAGGGTGGAAGGGTGTTGTGGTCCAGTATTCAAACTAAGGCAGTCTAACTCCACAGTGCTATGCTGTTGTGCCTGGTGATACAGCCATGCCTATGGGGTACTGATGAAAAAATCGAGACATGTTTTGGCATCAACGCAATCTAGGGTTTTGTCCAGAAACTTGCTTTTGACTGTGTTCAGTAATGATAATGATAATTAAACTCCCAAGCGTACATTATCCAGAATGCCATTTCTCTCCCTCCCCATTTCAATAAAAATTAGACCTTGGATGTTTTTCTTACTTGATTGGCCATAGTATTTTCTGCTAGCAAAAACATATGTGGAAAGTACATATAACATTGTTTTATAGTAAAAGCAAAGGGATTAGTTAACTTTTAATGACTAATAGTTACCGAATTATGGTAATCTAGTGTTTTCATCTATAAACTCTGAAAATAGTCGCAAAGAGAGCTTATCTGATTTCAATCAGCTCTAGATAATGCTGGTTGAGGCCACTGGACTTCCCTCTGAATTTCCCATTGGTAGATGCCACATGAGGATAGGAACCATCTCTTACTGAATACCTATTATATGTCAGATCTATTATTGACTATTTTAATCATAACTCTGAAGTGAGTAATGAATGCTATTCCATTTTATGGGTAAGGAGGCTCTCAGGATAATATTCCTCTCAAAAGCCACACTGCCAGTTTTTGGCAGGTGCATAGATTGAATTCAGAATCTTCTAGCTACTTGGGTTCTCATATCCCCACAGAAAGATTGAGAGCCTTGACATAATAGGTGCTGAATAAATAATTAACGCATGGGTAATATCTGATACACTTAATCTTCTTAAAAATGACAACTTGGTTGAATTTGGGATGTTTAGAAAATCTAATTACATTTACTAGTACATAAATTCTATGTATAATTTCTATTAATGTCAAATCCTATCTGTTATAATTCCTTTTTTTGTAGGAGTGAGTAGGGAGGCCCAGAAAGTTTTCCTACTGTCTCAGTGTACCCCTTGAAGCATGGAACCTGGAAAGATAGAATGTCATGTCACCACAGTGACTTTAGCTGACTCTGCATGCTGGGCTGAAGATTTCCACTGTTTGAGTAGCTTAGATAGTTTTGCTGTATACATATTACTCTTCTGCTTACATATAATAATGCTGTTTTTCTTTTTCTTAGGCTGTTTTGACAGAATACAAATTAAAAGCAATTGAATATGTGCATGGATATTTCTCTAGTGAACAGGTATTCCTCTATTTGTTTAATCAAATGTCTTTTTCTTTCTTTTTTTTTCACATGATGTTCTGGTTAATGTCTATTTACCTGCTGGTCCAGTCAGAATTGCTTTTATGTTGTTGCTATATTTATTAAGGAACTTCAGAAGCTTTCAGTTTTAGTAGAAAACTTTACAGAATTTATAGCTTGGGTATTTTATAAACATACCCTCTTTCACCACAATATGCTAACATGATTTTAAAATGCAGTGTTTAAAAAAAAATCAGTTCAAAGTGTTTGTCATTCTGGGCACAATATCATAAATAAATTTATAAACTTCTAGTCATAAATATACTCAAGTTTGGGTTGCATTTTTAAGTTAATTGCAAAATTCACTGCATATTATAAAAGAAAACTTGAATAAGTGGTGAAATATTTTTTTATATGAATCCACTAAGTAAAAATTTTAGCAATAAGAAAAAAAATAGTGTCTAATTACTGTCTAATAAGTAATTTCTATAACTGCCAGAAGACCAATGACAGTTTAGTAAAAATGTTTTACCTAACTTTAGGGAGAGTTTGCTAATTTTAAAAATATGCATGCATGTATATACACACACGTACATTGAAAGTCCAGATTCCTGAATAACATTTAGAAAATACTTGATAGAAAACTAGGGCAAAAATAGAAATGTACATCTGGAGAACGGTTGTCGGAAAGGATTAGAGCATAAATAAGGTAGACAATGTATGTAGTATCTATAGATTGAGTCAGTAAATGTTCCAACTTTTCATCTGTTTCTCAACATGTTCAAAGCGTGAAGCTTGAAGCTTAAGCCTGTAGAAGTTTTGCCTCCTAAATTCTAAAAAGTGACGTTAAGACTTGCATGTGTTGCTGCCTATTTAATGAGTGTTAATGTTTTGGAAAGATTTACAGCTTTTCATAGGTAATAGCTTTTCTTCTTCTTTTGCATATGCATATGTGAAATTTTGTAGAAAACTTCTCTTGGTGCTTATTCTACTTTGCTAAAGTCATTGAAAATTTTATTAAGCCACTTTCTAAGGCTACTTTGTATAGTAAAGATTTTTCTTCCTATATCAGACATGATACGTATGGTTTTATGACTGGTAAAGTGCCAGGTAGTACTTACTG